TTAAGTGCTGATGAGATGCTCTCTTTAATGTGGAATTACCTAACTCTGTGGATGGGAAATCCTTCTGGATGTTTAGACTTTGATTCCCAACACTGGAGAAGGGAAAAGACACCTTTGCAGTGTGACTGGTTGTCATATCCATTCCATCATCTGCAAAGGCCTTGGTGACATCCTCACACTGTAATTGCTGTGGTGGAGCTTGACAAGAAAACATGGCTTTGACATCAGATGCCTGGCATTTGGTCATGTCCATCCCATCATCTTCCCCTCTAAAGACTTTGGTCACGTTGCAGGTGTCCAGTGGCTCATGGGAATATGCAAATTCCACTGATGATGGTGCCACAGCTTCTGTGACTTGAGGAGGGATAAAGAAAACGTTCTCTTTCTCAGGGCCCTCCATAGGGTTGAGAGTCTTCTTGTTTGACTTCAAGCACATCAAAAATTCATTGAAGTCTATTTTTTTCACAGTAGCAGCATCTTCTTTCTGTTCTGAAGTTGGACATGAATAGCTTGTAGGACCAGAGAAAAACTGGAATTCTTTGCTCCCTTCTGCCTTCCCACTGTTAGAGTTTAACCCCGCCAGAAAGGACGTGATATCTATTTTCTCAGTGTCGTCAGCCTGGGTGTTCTTGAGGTTACGTGTGATGACAGCAGTGTGGCTGGCTGTCATATCCATTTCATTCTCCTCTGAAAAGATGAAGGTGGTGTTGTGCCTGTTTTGCCTTTGAGTGGCGTTGTCTGCATCATACCACTGGAAAACAAATAACCAAAAATAAACAAGAGGACGAAATTAGTTACTGACACTTAACCCCAATGATACAATGGTTTATTCTCTTTAAAACAACAGTCAACTGATGCAGTAGTAAGGTTAGAGCTTTAGCTTTACATCTTTTGGGGGAAAAAGCTATTAGTTTGCGTCCTCCTTGATAAGCAAGAACACATTCAAGGAAAGGATGACCTTAATTCTTAGAACATATCATATTTAAATGGCTTTTTTGGAGAAAATGTGTCTCAGTTTTACTACTGGGCAAAGACTTCATATTTAGACATATTTTAGTAAGCATGGAACACTTATGGATCAATGTTGTGGATTTTGTGGTTTCCGCCTTTCCTCCCTCCTCTAACTGCAGGTAAAAACCTTGCCCAGCTTCCCATGCACTTTAGTTACATTTATCATCTTTCCTACACAAATTGTTGGAACTTCTTTTGGACACTGATATTTTCAGCACCAAACCCAAATAAACACACCTCAGTCTGCACCAGTGCCTGGATAGGGGCATGAAGCAAAGTGTTCATCCCTGTTGAAAGAAAAAGAAATACTCAATTTGTTGTTTTCTTACTATTTTCTTACTATTTTATCCACTGAGCTGAAGATCTGGGCACACATTTTGCAAACACCACTAAGTAAGTACAGTTAAACCCAAATATATCCCAAAAAGCATTTGCAATACTCCCTGAAGCGTGTGAAGAGCCACCCAGACTTCTACACTACAATGCTGGTACACAGCTTCATGGGACAAAGCCCACTCACGCAACCATCACCTCAGAGAGAGATGATGAAATTATTCAGAGTTAATAGTTTTACATAAAGACAGTAATTTTGTTATTAAATCTACCTCCAGACTCACCAGTGATCTCGCAGGGAACAGCCTCAGGTTCTTCATTTCTGCAAAAGGTGGGTGAGGTAAACACTTTGTTAAAGGATTTTCTGTAAGGCCCTTTCCAACCCCACTCATTCTGTGATTCTAGGATTTCCCACCAGAAAGCTTCAGCAACATACTGACAAGCAGAGAATTCTGCTGTGTAGCTCTACACAGCTCTACAGGGCTGGCAGCAGACACCAACACCACTTGTGTGTCTGCAACATATTCTAGTATGAGCTGCAATCTTATTTTCCCCTAAGTTTCTTTTCTCTCAGCCATTGACCAACATGCAGGTGGCATTTTAATTCCTCAGTGACAAATGAGAGAAGAGAAAAGATGAGTTCTTTATTTTTAACTCAGACCTTCCACTTTTAGTTATTCCTTTTCTCTTTGGGCAACTGAAGCTGTGTTCCTAAAGCCTGAAAGCATTTTGCTCTAAAACAAAAAGCCAGATACACGAAAAGTGTCCAGCTTATGTGGTTTTCTTTCTAACTTATAACGCAGTCTGCTCTCCACTGCTCTACTGATTGCTCTTTCAAGACCAACAAACCTTAGCTAGAGTACTGGGGTTTAATTACATACATATATAACAACCCAAGATAGTAACATATATATCTCTGTGCGTACATGCACGTATATATATGTATATGCAAATCTATATACATATAACCTATTTATATGTAATATAGATAAAATATATATGTAAATATATATAAAATCTATATATAATAAATATATATTATATA